GAGGAGTTGTGCTCCAAGTTATCAGCTCAAATTGATCCTCAAGAGGCTAAGACTTCTCAGGGCATAAAAGGTTGCACATCCGAGCTGAGGCACCGACCCCAAAACATCATATACTACCTCAATTGTGTTATGCAGATTATTCTTTCTGCATATCTTTCCCTCTGCATTTTATAGAGGTGATTGCACCGCCACAGCACTCCTGTACTTTTCCCCCATTGTCAAAGTCATTCATCCTCATGCCACTCCTTTTTTCATGAATTAATAAAATCTGGGGTTGGGCCTGGGTTAAGGCCTCTGTTCTGATTAGGTATCATCATAGCCAAACTCAGGACCCCTCTAGGTCCCCATCATTTTGGTTACATTATCATGTCTTTATGCCCTGAGTTGCACTTGGTGCCGTAGATTGGAACTAACTGTATAGGATTCCAATAACTTTTCCATGGGTCTACAAATATAAACTTCCCAGACCTCAATGAGGATGGGGAAGGGCTCCCTATAAAAGTACACACGCATAAAATAATAAGCACTATTAGTGCAACCAAGTAGAATGGAGGGCTGCAAAGAAGTTACAATGCAGGGCACACTGAGTGGCTATTTTCAACAGATGTTGTCAAGTTGACAGTTATGGATTTCACAGTTGAGTAGCACAGTGTCATAGTCACTGCTTTCTTAAACCTGAGGACAGATGCATTTCTTACTTGGACTCAAGGTCTGTCCAGGGAGAGAGAGTCTCTTTTTGGGGCAAGGTTGAAAGTCTGCTGCTAACCCGTGTTCCTGGACTTACAGTGCTCTGCAAAAGCACATCTATTTCTAGGGCCTCTTCTTCCATCTTCATCCTGTGCCCTAAAGGTATAAGGCATATTAACAACTTTGTACTTATTTCTCTGAGCTTATATATAAAAATAATCAGGATATATAAAATGCTTCAGTGATACAATTATTATAAATGTTTACTGTTCAAAGTTAAAGGAAGTTACATATTTTATAATTATAGGGGATTTCTTTTTGATCCTGGGGGCTTCTTACATTTTCTTTGACAGTCTTATATAGACAGAAACCAGTGACTGAATTGTTTTTCCTATTTTCTCACCTTATCAAAGGTCATTTGAGGAAGAGAAACCATTCATATACTTATTGAGAATGTATATATACAACAAACTCATTCAGGTAAAGATTCTGACTTACAAGTGTTAAAGGACTTGGAACAGCTGTAGCCTCCACCAGCATTGTGATTAAGAGCAGACATGTGTCATACTATTGTAATCTCTGACATAGGGGTCGGATTTCAGCTATACTGTACATTGAGTTCCTGACCAGCCTGGACCCAGAGACACTGCCTCAAGCAAAGAACAACAAACAAGCGCAAGCGCGCGCACACACAGTGTGCGGGGAGGAGGGGCCACACACCACTTTTCCCAGGCCTTCTAATACCACAGGAGAGAAAACTAGGGCCTGCAGGCCACATGCACTCTGGGGCATTCTCTCTATATAACATCCCCTATGTCCTATGTAGTAGGGTTAAGTAGCTGGACAAAGACTGTTAAGGCCCAAAATATTTGTTCTCAGCTCCTCTTCCATATCAAACATATCTTGGTATGTTTTAGTGTTCTCTTACATGTTATTTTTATTTTAAATATATAAATCTATATCATAAGTAACAGTAGAAGATCAATAGGATAGTCTGAGCTTCTTTAATTGCTCCCCAAATTCTAGTCTCTTTCATTTATGAACATGTATTTAAAATTCTCTACCTTATTTCTGTTAATAGCTACAATCATTTGATTCTATTAATTACAAGACAGTATCTTCAAAATTTAAGAGAAAGCATTTTTTCTACTGCACAAATTCCAATAAAGTTAAAACAGTTCTGTAACTACAAATAGCAATTAAAGATACCAATTTCACTCTAAAGAACTTACTTAATATGTGATATGTACCCAAGCAAATTACTTCTCCAAGTCCACATACAACCTCTGTGAGGTTGTATCTTTAAGCCTAAAAGTTCATGATCGCAAAGAATGAAAGGTGTTTGTTTTTTCCCCATTTTCTACAGTTCCCAAGCCCAGGACATTAGCAGTTGTGTGGCTGCGGCTAGGCTGTATGCCTTCCCTCCAACGCTCTCAGGCTGTTGGTCTTCTGATTTCCAGTATGTACTCTGAAACGCCTGACATACTTTCGTCAGTCACAGGCTCACGTTTGTAGCTACAGATCATTTTGTCCACATCAAAAATAGCTTAAGCTCACAATGCAGTTAGGAATGTCAGGAACACCTAGCAGAAAATAAAGCCTCCAACTAGATGTGGTTTTTCGCATTTTCATAGGCATCAAGAAAGGATTTCTGTCCCCAATATATCCAACAAAATGTATCAGAATTAAAGCTCCAAGTACAGAAAATGGCATTAAAACACACAAACGCAATTCTCTTGCCTCCAACCATAACAGGCAATGATGAAAGCAAACTTTGCTTTTTTCCTAAATTGAGGAGCACAGCTTCCTCCCTCAGGAACTCAGCATGGGCTCAGCTTACTGGACTGACAGAAAGCAGAAACTATTGTGGATTACTTTGCTAAGTACTTTGCTAAATCATGAGCTATATTCACTATGAATTTCAAATATAACAAGTATGCTACCAGCAAAACTAATCTAGTTCTCATAAGAGATTTTTTAATTGTATAAAAAAATTAGTTTTATTCTGATACCATAAAGTCTCAGTTGGGACTGAAAAAGCTAAAGTTGTTTCCTCAAATTTCATACCTAAGTTATTAAGCAATTTTACAGTTTAGAATATATCAGATTCCAATAAGATTTTATTGGATCCAATACAACACAACTTGCTTATTACTCAAGAACACCATACATAAAAAGGGCTTTCTTTCTACTGAATTCACCAATCTTTTATTTGCCATTTCTTATGAAGTTTCAGGGAACATAGTCCTGAGACTACAACAGATACTACGTAAGTACTCCTTGCCCTCCAGATGACTGCACTAAATATAAACCCAGAGTTCAGCAATTAGTAAATCTTTAATTCCACCACTACAAATGAAGCAACCCAAGGAATACCCACGGAGACGAATACCTATTATCTTCTCAAGCATTCACTTTCTCGTATCACAAAAGGATGCCTCTGTCCTTTACTGTAAATGCCAACAATGTGTTGTTCCTCCACGTTCTCCTCATGCTGTGACTGACAGAAAGAATACTCAATGTAACCTTCCAAGTGGTGACCTCAGAGCTGGTGCCTTGAACATTTGTGACACAGTATGAGCTGCTGGCATCCATGCACTTCCTGAAGGCTCTGAAGGGTGGAATGACCAAAATGCCCGAAATACCTCAAGTACTGAGAGATGTGGAACAAAACAAATTTGCCTGGCAAAAAAGTACAGCTTTCCATTCTTAGCCTGATTCTCTCGTACCAAGTGCATTCGGTCTGCCTCGTGGACCACGCAGACCATCCTGGCCTGGTGAGTTCGTGTTCCTCCCTGGGTATCGTAACAGCAGGCCCTCCCACCCCCGTTGAACCTTGGCCACTCCTCAGCTCAGTGTCTGCGGTTTCTCCAGTATACAGCTACAAACTTGGTCTTTATTAAACTTTTTTTTTTTTTTTTTTTTCAGAACTGAGGATTGAGCTCAGGCTCTTGCACTTGCCAGGCAAGCGCTTATTCTACTGAGCTATCTCCCTGGCCCTACTAAACATTTTGTGGGGAAGACAGGGCACTATAACACTGATCTCTGCTCCTCATTGGACTTAACACAGTATCTTCCTATTTCTACGTTTCCCCAAGAACTGTGCCATGTACCAACTCTTCACATTCCAGTGATCAAAGTTTACTCTAAATTTTCCTATTATACTTTTCCTGTGTTGAAGGTGCTAGCCTTTGCAATTCTGTGCCTTGCTCCCTCCAGTTACGTTCAAGGCCACGGAGGCCTGGGAAGGAACAGAGCATAAGAAGGAAACTGCTTCCCTGCTGACTTCCAGAAGCGCCACTTACCATGCCCCACCATGAGCATCAGCTCTGCAGCATGCTGGTTTACCACGGTTAAAAAGGTTAGCCAACACATGCTTGTAATCCCAGCTCTTGGGAGCTGTAAACAGGCACATCACTACGAGTCCAATCTAGTAGTGAGACCCTGAACACCCTGTAGATTCTTCCTTAAAATTAAAAAAAAAAAAAGTTAGCCATGAAAGTAGCCAGGTTTCATCTAGCTTCAGGCACAGACAGGGTTAAACTATAATAACACAAGTATTTGAAATTCCATACTTTAGAACTATAGTTGCCTATATGCATGTAACTTGGAATAAAACAGTATTACTCAAAAGAATACTATTCCTCTAGAATC